GGAAGAATTTCTGGCAGCGATTTGAAGATAATCTATTAGAAGGAGTGAAAGTACTGAAAATAGTAAACATAGATAAATATAAAAGATGATATATGTTTCTTCTCTTAATTTCTTTAAAGGACATATGACCCTTTAAAGCAAAAATTATAATGAACATAGATGTAACATATAAGACAATAAAGCACAAAGGATTTGCGGGTGGTGGCAAATGGAACTATACAAGGTAAGGCTCTTTTATTTATGTGAAGTATCATAATTTTAACTCTTAAGAATATTGATAACTTAAGAATGCATATCATAATTCCTAAAAACATTGTTAAAACAATAAAGCAAAAAAGATACAGTTAAAAGCCAACAGAGGAATTCAAATGGAATACCAAAACACTTGATTAATCCAAAAAATGGCAGTAAGTGAAGAATAGAGGAACACGAAACTAATGGGACAAATTAGAAACAAATATCAAAATGATAGGCTTAATTTCAATAACATAAATTATTATAATTAATATAAATGGATAAAACACACCAATTAATAGGTAGAGATTTTCAGATTGGATTAAAAATAGGAAGATCCAACTAATTATTACCTACAAGGGAAGCACATTAAAAAATACCCAGAGGTTCAAAGTAGAAAGATGGAAAGATATAGAATACACAAACAGTAAGCAGAGGAAGCTTCAGTGACTATATTACTATAAGAGAAATGTTACTTTAATGTAAGATGTGTTATTAGAGACAAAGAGGATTTTTCATAATGAGAAAATGGTTGTTAAGTCAGGAAGACACAAGAACCAACACAGTTAATGTGCTCAATAACAAAGCTTCAAAAATATGTAAAGGGGGGGCACCTGGGTGGCTTAGTCGGTTAAGCGTCTGACTTTTGCTTAGGTCATGATCTCGCGGTTGGTGGGTTCGAGCCCCGCGTCAGGCTCTGTGCTGACTGCCAGCTGGGAGCCTGGAGCCTGTTTCAGTCTGTGACTCCCTCTCTTTCTGACCCTCCCCTGCTCGTGCTGTCTCCCTCTCTCTCTCCTAGAAATAAATAAAACATTAAAAAATTTTTCAAAAATATGTAAAGGAAAAAATGACCATATTAAAGGACAAAAGAAATAAATTCACGAATCCATTGTAAGAAATTTTAACTCCCCTATCTTGGTCATTACATAATGAAACTCTATGAAAAGACAGTAATGATATAGAATATCTGAACAGAACTATCAACTCCCTTAACCCCATTGACATTAATAAAACCAATGCTCCACAACTGCAGAACACATTCTTTTTCACTGTCCATGGAACATTTACCAAGATAGACCACATCTGGGGGACAAAATAAGTCTCAACAATTTTTACAATGTTGCTATCTGACAAAGTTTGTTTTCTGATCACAGCACAATTTGGTAATCTCTAACAACACAGATGAAGAAAAAGAGATGGAAGATTCAAATGATCAATACCAGTGTTTTAGGTATCTATTGCCGTGTAACAAAGTACTCCAGAATGTAGTGGCTTAAAACAACAACCATTTTATTGCTCACATTTTGTAAGTCAGGAATTTGCACAGAGTTCAGAGAACTTTCTCACCTCTCTTTCATGTGTCATTAACTAGACTCACTCGTGCAGTTGAATTCAGCTGTTGGCGGATCTGGATCACAAGGTCTGGGAAGGCCTTCCTCATGTGTATGGATAAGAAGCAGACTGGTGGCTTCATGTGGCCTTTCTCCATGTGGTGTTTCTCTTTCAGAAAACTTTTTCTTCATATGGTCTTTCTCTCCAGTAAGAATGCCTGAACTTCTTTTTTGTCTTTAATTTTTTTAATGTTTATTTTTGAGAGAGAGTGTAAGTGGGGGAGGGGCAGAAAGAGGGTGACAGAGAATCTGAAGCAGACTCCGTGCTATCAGCACAAAGCCTGATACGGGATTTGAACTCATGAACTGTAAGATCATGACCTGAGCCAAAGTTGGATATTCAACCGACTGAGCCCCCAAGGTGCCCCAAGATTGCTTGAACTTCTTAATGAGTGGCTCAGGGCATTAAATGGGCAAAAAAATGAAGCTACACCTTTAAGGATATAATTTATTTCCCCAATTCTGAGCCTGGGGCAGGATCTTAGTCCATGTATTTTGAGCAGTTTGTAGTTAGAAAATATTTTTCTCTGTATTATTATGTAAACTATCTTTGTTTTATGCTTTCATTTTTGCCACATTACTTTCTTATCTTGTTCATATTATCAGCTATGATACAGTATAGACTAGGTTGATGTTTTTCCAACTGTTTGGTTATCTAAAGCTTGACCTTGGGGTGCCTGGGTGGCTCACTTGGTTGGGTGTCTGACTCTAGATGTTGGCTTGGGTCATGGTCTCAAGGTTCGTGGATTTGAGCCCCAGAGTTGGGCTCTGCACTGGCAATGCAGACCATGTTTCTCGCCCTGTCTCTCTCTGCCCCTCCCCCAGCTCATGTGTGCATGCATGCTCTCTGTCTCTTAAAATAAACAAATATTTTCAAATGTTACTCACTGGGAAAGCAGACTGGTGCAGCCACTCTGGAAAACATTGTGGAGGCTCATCAAAAAATTAAAAATAGAAATACCCTATGACCCAGTAAATACCCAATTGCACTACTGGGTATTTACTAAAGGGATACAGATACGCTGTTTAGAAGGGGCACATGCACCCAATGTTTATAGCAGCAGTATCAACAATAGCCAAAGTATGTAAAGAGTCCAAATGTCCAATGACGGATGAATGGATAAAGATGTGGTATGTATATATATACAATGGAGTATTATTTGGCAATCAAAAAGAATGAAATCTTGCCATTTGCAACTACATGGATGGAACTAGAGAGTATTATGCTAAGTGAAATTAGTCAGTTGGAGAAAGACAAATATCATATGACTTCACTCATATGAGGACTTTAAGATACAAGACAGATGAACATAAGGGAAGGGAAGCAAAAATAATATAAAAACAGGGAGGAGGACAAAACATAAGAGACTCTTAAATATGGAGAACAAACAGAGTGTGGCTGGAGGGGTTGTAAGAGGAGGGATGGGCTAAATGGATAAAGGGCATTAAGGAATCTACTCCTGAAATCATTGTTACACTATATGCTAACTAACTTGGATGTAAATTAAAAAATAAATAAATTTTTAAAAATGTTATTATCAGTGGTGCTTGGGTGCTCAGTCAATCATCTAACTCTTGATTTCAGCTCAGGTCATGATCTCACAGCTCATGAGTTTGAACCCCACATCAGACTCTGCACTGACATTATGGAGACTGATTGGGATTCTCTCCCTTCCTTTCACTCGTTGCCCCTCCCCCACTCACATTTTCTCTCTCTCTCTCTCAAAATAAATAAATAAACTAAAAAAAAATAATAGATGATGGGCACTGAGGAGGGCACTTGTTGGATGAGCACTTGGTGTTGTATGTAAGTGATGAATGATGGGAATCTACTCCTGAAACCAAGACTACATTGTATGTTAGCCAACTTGACAATAAATAAAAAATAAAAATAAATAAATAAAATGCTATTATCACATTAAATTCTCTTTAGCACAAGGCAACTGTAAGGACATCTTTCTGTTCCTTAGAATATGTCTTTTTCTAGATGGAGTCTAGAACCTTCTGTGTGTTTTATGTTTACATTTTTGTCATGTTATTTCTTTTCTTAATCTTATTTGTGCTATTGAATGAGCTATAGTATAATCACTTTTATTTTATTTTCTTCACCTAACGCATTTTCTAACGGAACGGAACGGTACTAAGGGAAAGGGAAGGGTTATTTGTGCAGCCTTGGGTATGAACAAAATTTATGTAATGACTTTAAACTAACTCCTTGTAACGCTTCCTCCTTAATCCTAATTCTGTTCTCTGAAGCTATGAAAAAATAATCTGCCCCTTCTTTAATAGACCAACCTTCCCAATTGTGGAAATACTGTGTTCCCCTGGGTCTCTGCCTCTCCAGGTCATCTTACCCAGAACTCCTCAACTTTTCCTCATTTTACATTTTTCATCTTACTTTTGTCCCCTTTTCATATAAGTTGGTCAATGTTCCTCATGAAAAGTAGCCCCTGAGGGGCTGCACCAGTTTACATTCCCACCAACAGTGTAGGAGGGTGCCCGTTTCTCCACATCCTCACCAGCATCTGGAGTCCTCTGATTTGCTCATTTTAGCCACTCTGACCGGTGTGAGGTGGTAAACCATACGTTTGCACGTATAGGAGGATTAGGAGGAACTTAACGGAGGACCGTGGGGGAGAAGAAAGGGGGGAGGGGGGGAGAGAGAGGGAGGCAAACCATGAGAGACTCTTGAATGTTGAGAACTGAGGGCTGATGAGAAGGGAGGGGGTGATGGGCATGGAGGAGGGCACTTGTGGGGACGAGCACTGGGTGTTCTATGGAAACCAACTTGACAATAAACTATTAAAAAAAAAAAAAGTGGCCCCTGATGGGTCCCCATGGTCAGCTGAGAGGGGGAAAAAAGATATTCTTGCTCAAATTTTGGGGAGGGGGCCAAATCCTTAAATTCAAAGCTGAAACTTTAAAAACGAGGAAAAAAGATGTCAAGGGAGCTATTAAGAGGTTACGCACATTTATCTTGGCCAGGACCACTCAGCCACACCTCTGGGGTTTCAGCAGTGCGCCCTGAAGCCAAGCAAAAATGTACAAATAGTGGTACAGTGAATTACCCTGGTAATGCCGCATTCTGCTTTTTTGACTGCTCACCTCAGCCAGCCACCATCCTCTCGTCCCAGTCTCCAGTTACTTCTTAAGTCTCCCATTTTCCAACTGGAACCAACTAAGACGTAAACCTTGGGCCAATTCGGTGGGAGGATAGCTGCGCGCCGGCACTTCCGGGGTTAAGCGACAGATGGCGACGCCTGGAAGGAGGAGTTAGGGGCGGAGCCGCGCCTGCCTGATAGCTCGGCGGGCTTTTGCGCATGCTCACACGAAGCCGTCTCTAACTCCGCTTCCGGTGGGGGGGGGCGGTTCACTCGTGCAGTTTCCGAGTAGCGGCGAGGTTGTGCTTACCGCTGCAGGGAAGCGTCCGCTTCAGGTGGGTAAGTGTCGCCTCTTTTGTCCATCAAATAATTATTCCAGGCATTCAGAGTAGAACTTGAAGGGCTGTGCTGGGAGTAACCCATGTTCTGTTTCTACTTTCTCCTTTTGTTCTGAAACCTTTATTTCTGAGAACAAGACGAAAGGGGTGGAGAAGCTATGGTTACCGTGGCAACTGCTTGGCAGCAACTTAGTTTTTGAGAATTTGGAGAAATTGGGAGAGCTGCTTACGGAAGGGCTCGCTCAAACGCGTGTGCGTCGGACGCAGATTTAGATGTTCTGTCAAACCCATACGCCTAAACCACAGAATTCGATTGTAAAAGGTGTACTCTGGCTATAATGTGGAGTGGCAGGATTTGAGGTGGGGTAACTAGGTGGAAAGCGAATTCAGCGAGCAAGACACAGTTTGAAGATGTCCTGAACTGGGGTAGTGGTGGAGGATTGCGGAGAAGAGGGAAAATTGGAGAAATTCCAGACGGTAGTATCAGCGGGACCTAATGTGGGGAATGAGGGACAGGGGCCCTGGGCATCTTGAGGATTAAGTCCATACTTCGCTTGCCTATGGCTGCGAAGATTCCTTTCCCGCCATCATTTCAGTCTCCTGATCCCCTCTTCCACGCAGACCGCAAGACTCTATTCATTACAAGTAGTTTGATGTTCTAGTTCTAGAATATTGTCCTCACCTTTCTTATGATGTTGGGCCAGTTTGTATAATTTTATTAAGCCTCTGAATTTTTTTCAAACAAAAATGAAATAAAATAAAAAGTACTTCTCTCAGGATTTTTATGAGGATTAAGTGCGATAGTTTATATGCCTGGGTATAGAAAATGATCAATATGTTCATTACTACTAATGTATGTATTTGCATTGTTTGATTTTTATGTGTCATTTTGCTGTTTCTTTCTCTAGACTTGAGTTGGGTGTTTTTTTATTTTGTTTTGTGTTTTGTTATTTTTTTAATATTTTATTTATTTCTAGGAGAGAGAGAGAGAGAGCGTGAGCAGGGGAGGGTCAGAGAGAGAGAGGGAGTCACAGACTCTGAAATGGGCTCCAGGCTCTGAGCTGGCAGTCAGCACAGAGCCCGACGCGGGGCTCGAACCCACGAACCGCGAGATCATGACCTAAGCGAAAGTCGCACGCTTAACCGACTAAGCCACCCGGGCGCCCCTGTTTTGTTTTATTTTAATTTAATTTAGGAGCAGTATCTTACCTATTTTTGTATGTTCTTGTAACATAGTAAAGACTAAAACATTTTTTGAATGGATCATTTATTTGGGCTGTTGTTGACATAATTAAATTTATTTCTTACTTTAGAGGAGGTACCTGGGGGGCACCAAGGTGGCTCAGTCGGCTGAGTGTCCGACTCTTTGATGTCAGCCCAGGTCTTGACCTCACTGTTGTGAGGTCAAGTCCTGCACTGGATGTGGAGCCTACTTAAATAAATAAATTGCAGGGGCTGCCTGGTAGAATGAATTTTGCTGATCAAATATTTTCTGTTAGATAAAAAGGTAGCAGTTTTCCTATATAAATAAGAAGGCCGTGAAATGAGATGTACAGAAAGTAACTAATATTCTCAGTCTGGAACAGGTATGAGTGATTTCAGTGAAGAATTGATAAGGTCCAAGACAGAGGATGACCAGGAGGAATCGAGTGTATTCTCTGGTACAGGAATGTATTTTCCTTGGCTCCAAAAGCACATAGACACTGTGGGTAAGTAAAATAACATCTAGCCATTTTAACTGTAATGCAAAGAGATGATAAAATTCAGTATGGACACAAAATTGGTACCTAAGCTGGTTCAGTTTCTTTTTTTTTTTTTTTTTTAATGTTTTATTTATTTTTAGGAGAGAGAGAGACAGCGTGAGCAGGGGAGGGTCAGAGAGAGAGGGAGACACAGAATCTGAAGCAGGCTCCAGGCTCTGAGCTGGCAGTCAGCACAGAGCCCGACGCGGGGCTTGAACCCACGAACCGCAAGATCATGACCTAAGCGAAAGTCGGACGCTTAACCGACTAAGCCACCTAGGCGCCCCGCTGGTTCAGTTTCAAGATGTAACTGTATTAGGGTTTTTGAGACTGTAAGCAAAAAAATCATTTAAAAAAAGAGATCCTTTTTTCTACTTTAACTTTGAACTAATAACATAACAGTATGTATTATCATAGATACCTTTTCTTCCCCAGTAATACTTGCTAGTCATTTATATGCCTGGCATTGGCTACATGTTGGGATACATAGAAGAAGAATATATGGCCACTGGCAGTGAGGAGTACCTATGTAGAAAGTGTTTTTAAGTAGTTTCTGTTGAATTGGATTTAAATTATTCCTAATATAATTGATCTATACTATCTATAGTATAGAACTTTCTTCTATATAAATATAAGGAGATGTTTCTGTTGAGTACATATCCCTGTAGGGATATATAAAAGAAGCATTTATGTGTATATTATTGACGTGTTGCCTGGTGTACTTCTGGGAATACATTAGAACTGACACTTAGTACCCTCCAAACACCTTAGACTAGCCATCTTTCCCCTTGACCAGGATTCTTTGTTTCCTAGAATTTACTCCTGTTTCTTTATGTTTTAGTTTTAATATTATCTCATTTAGTTATCTCAGTAAATTAATGCCCACATGATGGGCATTTTAGTGTTGAGGGAAGTGAATCTTGAAGAAGTTAAGCTCTAAATGTGGGTATCAGGAGTTAAAACAGGTCTCTCTGACCTCAAAGCTTATACTTTTGATAACTGAGATACAATTTTATTAATGAGATATTATATGTAAAGTGCTTACTGCAGAGCCTCATGCATAGTGAGTGTTGGAAAAATAATAGTTTCTTTCCTCTCTTCTCATTATATTTTTGCTAATGAATGTACATGGTTCAAGCTAGGTTTGACTGGCTGATACTTCAGAGGGAATGCTACTTCCCTGCCTTATAGGGAACTAGTGATCTCAGGTTTCTGCTGGTTAAGATATACCTGGGCAAGTTTTTATCATTAGGATTCTGCAGAGAGCTTGAGTCGATCCAAAACCAGCCAGTTTAAGACCAGAATTTACATGGTTAGAAATGTTTTAGAAGTTATGGATAGCCTGTTAAACCCAAAATAAATACTTTATGCCTGCAATGAGAAAATAGTTTCAGGTAATATTGACATTCTAGTGATAAATAACCATGCTAGGACAACAAAATTGCCCAGCAATTAATTTTTTTACTCTAGTAAATATCTACTGGTGTTCTGAGGGGTATGCCCTCTAGAATAAAGGCTTTGAAGGCAGAGGCCAGTCTGAATTAAAACTGTATGTTAAGCGGCATGTGGCTGTCTCTGTCGGTGAAGTATGCAACTCTTGATCTCAGCATTGTAGGTTTGAACCCCACGCAGAGTGTAGAGATTACTTAAAAATAAAAGTTTAGAAAACAAACAAAAAACTGTGTGTCAAATACCTAGAATAGTACTTGGCACAAAATTGTGCTCAAAAAATATTTGTTGACTGACAAGTTTCCAGATCCTTTCCAGGGCGTTAGAGATAGGCTGATGGCACTTGGCTCTTTATTGTACTTCAGTTCACGTCAAAATTTCTTTTCCTAGACAGTTATTTTTGAAAGTGTATCAGCAACAAACAGGACCATCTTTTGCTCATAAAAGAATGAAATGAGAGATATTCGTTAGGTAACAAGGCTGAATCATAAGACAGAGGGGAATTTTCCAAGAATTTAAGTACAGTAGTCTGAAGTCCGATTTCCCGTCTGAGTCGTGAAAACTTGAGGGGTTCATGGGAGGTTGGCCTGAGGTCAGTCCTCCTGTAGGTGAAAAACTGAGGTTTTAGGGAAGAGGTGTTTTGTCAGGTTCCTGGACCAGCGCCTGGTGTTGCTGCTGGTCCTGGGCAGTGAGTGTGGATCTTGCTAAATGCAGCTTCTTATTCAGAGAGCTGGGTGGGGCATTCTGTTCAGTTTCCTGGTGATGCTAAGGCTTTGTTTCTAGAACCACACTGAACAGCAAGCAGTGGGATCCCCACAAGATTTGTAAGTACTTTTAAAAAGTGTGAGAAGCACTAGTGTAGAGCAGTACCTTGTTTTACTCACGTATGCTTTTTTCTTTTTAATTATATACTGCCTTGCATGGTTTTAAAGTGTCATCTAAAAATTGTAAGTTCCATAGTTCCCAAAGATAGAATTTCCAACGCATTTTGGCATTTTTAAATGAAATTGGTATACTATTTTTACAGATATATCCCGTGGAATCTAAGTAGCACAGGAATATGATTCCTTTCACCATCCCCTTAAAAATATTTATGTAAAAATAGTTTTTTAATGTTTATTTTTGAGAGAGCACAAGCGTGGAGGCACAAGAGAGAGGGGGACAGAGGATCCCAAGTGGGCTCAGCACTGACAGCAGCAAGCCCGTTGTGGGGATTGAACTCAGGAACTGTGAGATCATGGCCAGAGCCAAAGTTGGACACTCAACTGACTGACCCACCCTGGCTCCCTGAGAAGATGTTAATTGATGAAGATTTTATATTGTTTATTTTCCTTTCATACTTTTTATAATAAAACTATGTATCTACATCTTATTATTTTTTGTTAATATCTCGTAGGACTTTAAGGTACTACAATTTTGTCTGGAGTGAGACATCATAATTACTAGTTTTACAAAGCTGATAAAAATAACATAAGTATTAAAAGTTGTGTTAAAATTTAGGGGCACCTGGGTGGCTCAGTCGGTTAAGCATCCAACTTTTGGCTCAAGTCATGATCTCGTAGTTCATGAGTTCTGAGCCACCGAAGGAATAGTATGTATTTCTAGAATATTACTGGGTATTCATATACCCGTGAAGGAATAGTATGTATTTCTAGAATGAAAAAAGATTTAGCTTTAGTTCTATTTTGTTTTCATTGATGTAATTCTGAGAGTCCCTAGTTACATGAGTAAGTAGATGGCACTGGATAGAGGGTAATTGTAGCAGTGTATCAGGTCTTTGAATTCTTGAATTACTCATGACAAAATTGCATAGTGATGTGTTACAAAGGATTCTTAAGTCCTTCCACACTTTGATAAACAAAGACTTGGAAATCACCTGACTTGCAAAACGGTGTGTTAGAGTCAGTCACTGTCCCAGTAGTTACACCTACATTTTCACCTTCATGTAATATATATTGATAATGATTGTGAAGCCTTGATTCTAGCATGGTTCTCTAGGAGATTAATTAGGAGATTTGTTTTAGGCGAGAGTGAGTATGTGAGGAAGTTGAAGATCTGGAAGTTGACTGCTCTGAAACTATGTTTGCATAGTACCTATAAGTCTCTCTGTATTCCCAAGGGTCAGGGTACACCACTTGAAGACCACTGGCCTAGAAGGTTTCTATGGTGTGTGGAAAGGGAAGGGGGGTGTCAATATGCAACCTGTTACTCCTAAGACGGGGTTGTGGGGCGCCAGGGTGGCTTGGTCCATGGCTTAGTCCCGACTTCAGCTCAGGTCATGATCTCATGGTCTGTGGGTTCGAGCCACACAGTGGGTTTGAGCACTTGAGGTGGGCTCTGTGCTAACTGCTTGGAGCCTAGAGCCTGGAGCCTGCTTGGAATTCTGTGTCTGCCTCTTAGTCTGCCCCTGCCCCACACCCGTTCTCTCTCTCTCTCAAATATAAATAAACATTAAAACGCAGTTGTAACTAACCCCAAATGTTCTTAACATGAGGATTGTCGATCCTTTAGAGATGTAAATGCTAATGTCTTCAACTGTTAAATCTCATTTGTGTTTAATATCATTGAGTTACTGGGAATTCTGGACCTTGAACAATGAAAGCCTACCTCTTGGAGTTTTCAGAATACTGGTAGTTAATACAGGGCATGCTTGTCTAGGATAACCCTAGTGATTTTTACCCGTTCTAAATACTTGGGATTTGCTTTCAGACCCTCTCAGAGATTCTACCCAGATTGTGTGGTGCAGAAATGAAGGGATGATTGGATCCCATCTAGAGGCCCCGGTATCCCAGTAGCCCATGAATATCAAGTTAGGCATCTCCACATTAGACATTGTTTTCATTTGCTGAGAAGAGTAAAAATAGCATGCAGGAGTTTGTTTCAAGAGAAGCTCACTCTGATATTTATTCGGGATGAACCGAGTTATGCTTGTTAAGGTTTCTCCTTTATCAGAAAGGAGTGTTTTTTAAACTCGAATTGGGATCACTGTGGCTAAAGACTCTTTTTTTTAATCTGTAGCAACTGAAGGAAAAAAGGAGAAGGATTTTGCTCAGACGACGAGCGCTTGTTTGGGTTTTATCCAAGAAGCCCTGCTGAAGCATCAGTGGCAGGAGGCCGCAGGGTACATGCACAGCTACTTGCAGGTCCTGGAAGACTCAGACAGCCACAAGAGGCAGGCTGCGCCTGAGGTGAGGGAGGTGTGTGCCCGCGGGAGGAGGTCCAGGTGCCTGGGGCTTTCTGCCTCTTGAGTGCCACCCAGAGTGGCTTTTGCAGGATCTCAGAGTGCTTTTTTTTTTTTTTTTTAGATTTTTATTTATTTCTAGGAGAGAGAGAGACAGCGTGAGCAGGGGAGAGTCAGAGAGAGAGGGAGTCACAGACTCTGAAATAGGCTCCAGGCTCTGAGCTGGCAGTCAGCACAGAGCCCGACGCGGGGCTCGAACCCAAGAACCGCGAGATCATGACCTAAGCGAAAGTCGGACGCTTAACCGACTAAGCCACCCAGACGCCCCCTCAGAGTGCTTTTTCTAAAAGCCACTAAAAGTAGTTTTGGTTGGAGAATTTGTATTGGGACATTTTTTTCTGGCACATTTTTTTACTTTTTAGGTTTTTATTTTATATTTTAAGTTTATTTATTCTGAGAGAGAGAGAGCAAGTTGGGGAGGGGCAAAGAGAGGAAGGGAGAGAGAATCCCAAGCGGGCTCTGCACTGTCAGCACAGAGCCCAACTTGGGGCTCAAAGTCACAAACTGTGAGATCATGACACGAGCCGTAGTCAGACGCTTAACCTACTGAGCCACCTAGGGGGCCCTACTTATTAGGATTTTAAAGGAAACTAAAAATATTTTGAACCCTGATTCTCAGATTCCCCACTATTCATTCGTTCCTTCTAAAATTCTTCCTTCTTTCCGTGTGTCGTTATCTTTCCATCTCCATAGGATGTTTCCTAACATCATACCAACGTGTTATTTCTTCCATCTGACAGTCATCTCTTGACCCCCATTTTCTCCACTGCTGTGACCCATTTTTCCACTTCCACTTTCAGCCAAGCTCCTCGGAAGGATCTGTATACTTGTTCTTCCCAAACCCTCTCCAGTGAGGCTCCCCTGACTGCCAGCATCACCATTTCTACCAAGTTGCTTTGTCAGGTTCAGCAGTGATCTCCAGGTTGCTAAATATAGTGCCCAGTTCTCAGCGCTCAAGGAACTTGATCTGTGAGCAGTACTGAAGGCAGTAGTTCACGGCCCCCTGTGTGATAAGTTTTCTTCACCTGACTTCCAGAACACTAGTTTCTCGGTTTCCTCTCTTGCCTCACTGGCCTTCCTCAGCCTCCTGTGGCCCTTTGACTTGGGAGTTCCCCAGAACTCAGTCCTCAGTCCTCTTCGTGAACGGCTTGGAGTCAGCTGTCTCTGCTGGACGGTTCGCAGCTGTGTGGCTGTGGCCTCGGTGGCCCTGAGAGTCGCACTGCTGTAAGCGGCGGTCAGCTCCGCCCGGCGCTCCGGTGCCTGGCAGGCATCAGCCCAGCGTGTCTCAGGTGGGCCTTGTGATCTCCACCATCGAACCTAATTTGCCTCCTCTCACATGATGGTTACTTTGAGTATCTAGTCACTGGGGCCAAACTCTGAAGTTCCCTTTCCTTCACACCCCATACCCTGTCGGCTCTCCTTCAAAATTCAGTGTGAATACTTCTCACCAGCTGCGTGGCTGCACGTCGACCCAGGCCGTGATCCTCTCACGCAGATGCCCGCTTGCCCTCCGCACCCCCTCGTGTCAACATAGCGACCAGGGTGATCCTTTTTAAAAAATAGTCTTATAATTAACCCACTGTACAGTTCACACCTTTAAACAGTACAATTCAATTTGTTTTCATATATTCTCAGAGATGTGCAGCCATTACCACAACCTAAATTTCAAACATTTTTGTCCCCCCCCCCCAAAAAAACCCCAGCTCTGTGCCCACTCGAGGTCACTCCCTGTTCTGTCCCTCCTTCCCCTGCTCCCCGCCCTTGGCAGCCACTAATCTACTTTCCATTTCCAGACGTTTCAGAGAGGTGGATGTAATAAAATGAGGCCTTTGTGTGAGACTTCTTTCACCGAACGTGTTTTCACGTTTATTCTTATGAAACGTGAGTTTCAGTTGCAATTTATATCAGTACTTCATTCTTTTGTACTGCAGAGTGACAGTCCATCCTATTTCATGTGTCCCTTCATCTGGTGTTAGACATGGGCATCGTTTGCACTGTTTAGTTATTATGAGTGATGCTGCTATGAACTGTCACGTACGTGTTTTTGTTAGGGATGTTTGTTGAAATTTCTCTCGGGTGTGTACCTAGGAATGGAGCGCTGGCTCATACGGGGTAACTGCATCTAACCTCTTGAGGGAACTACCAGACTGTTTTCCAAAGTAGCTGCACCATTTCACATTACCACCAGTAATCTCTGAGGATCCAGTTCCTCCACATCCTTGCCAGTTGTTGTTATTGTCTTTCTGATTGTAGCTCCCTTCGTGCTTGTGAGGTGGTACCCTGTTGTGGGTTTGAGTCACTATTTCCCTAGTGACTAATGAAGCAGCATGATCCTTTTAATGTTTTTAAATATCTGGTAGATATTTAATAAAGCCAGAAAAATTCTGAGACAAACAAAATTTAACTGTTGGTTGAAAATTTAGTTTGTGGACAATGCTATGTGCATCTATAAAATACTGGACAAATTATAGGTTCTTTTTATCCAGAATTTGTATTATAAAATGAAGGATTTGAATCAGTGTTTTCCAGACACTTGTCGGCTTCTTTTTGAATTAGCTAGGGCTTTTGTTGAAAACATAGATTCCTGCGCTCCACCCTATACTGATCAGACTCTGAATCCCTAAGAATATTTATTTTTAAAAGGTGTCCCAGTAATTCTTATACACAACTAGGTCTAAGAACAACTGTTACTATCTACAAATTTTCTTTAAGCTCTGAAATACTACTATTCGGTGATTCTACAAAGGAAATCTTGATTTCTCTTTCTGAGTTGGGAAGGTGAGTATTAGAATTATACCAAACAACTAATATGTATGTTCGCAGAAAGAGCTGGTTTAAAGTTCTCTTAAATTTACCCTAAGATCGGGGCGCCCGGGTGGCGTAGTTGGTTAAGCGTCCGACTTTCGCTCGGGTCATGATCTCGCAGTTCGTGGGTTCGAGCCCCGCATCGGGCTCTGTGCTGACTGCCAGCTCAGAGCCTGGAGCCTGTTTCAGTCTGTGACTCCCTCTCTCTCTGACCCTCCCCTGCTCACGCTGTCTCTCTCTCTCTCCTAGAAATAAATAAAACATTTAAAAAAAAAAAAAAAAGAACTCATACTTTAAAAAAAAAAAAAAAATTTACCCTAAGATCAATCATGAAATATTGACTTATAGGTGGCTCAGTTGGTTAAGCATCTGGCTTTGGTCATGATCTCATGGTTGGTGAATTCAGTCCCTGCATCAGGCTCTGTGCTGACAGCTCAGAGCCTGGAGCCTTCTTTGGATTCTGTGTCTCTGTCTTTCTGCCCCTACCCCCACACTCACTCATTCTCTCTTTCTCTCAAAAATAAACATTACAAAAAAAATTTTTTTATTGAAAAAGATTTCAATAATTAAATCTTTTAATTGGAGTAAGAGAAATAGATTCACTCCAAGAAGCGATCCAAGTTCTGTTACCAAAGTTTTGGTGCTCTGGGGAGAAAATATACTTTATTAAAATTTGACTGTAGCTGTTAAAAAATTTTATTTTTTTTTAAATACAATTTATTGTCAAATTTGTTTCCATATAGCACCCCGTGCTCATCCTAAGCTGCTGAAAAATTTTAAGTTGGAGTTCTACGTATAGATTAAATACGGTCAGTATTTGTAGTGCTTTATGGATCTCAGGAAACAACTAGTCCTTTGCTCTCATTTTGTGGATAATAAAGATAAGATCAAAAATGGTGAAAAAGCCAGTATTAACAAAAACTAAGTTTTCTGACTTCAATATTCTTGCCCCTATGCCAGTTAAAAAAAGTCTGTCTTCAATATGGATCTGAGCTGCCTGCCTTCTTTAGACTACTGACTTTAAAATGGTACTATTACAGCCGTCTGGTATTTTAATTTAATGGATGGAAAAAACTTTATCTCAAAAGATATAATATTTAGAGATAACTGGGTGAAACGAAGTATAGTAAAATGTTGATAGTAGCAGAGTAGTATCTAGGGAAATGAATTATAGGTTGTAAGCAGGGAAAAAAAATAGGGTCCTTAGGCAGAAATTTGTTAACGCAAGATGTTACATTTCTATTAGTAATTTCTGTTTTGACAGATTATTTGGCAGCTCGGAAGTGAAATTCTATTCTATCATCCCAAAAGCAACACGGAGACTTTCAATACCTTTGCTGACAGGATGAAAAACATGGGTGTCATGAATTACTTAAAGGTGAGAGAATGCAGGCTTTGTGAATTTTTATTGACAGTGCTCATTTTTAAAAGAAATCATCTCAGTGATGAGGTGGGTAATGATGTAAAAGGCATGGAAAAAGGGCAAGACACCTGGATAGATACAAGAAGCTGAAAAGAAGTGGTGTGAAAACTATTTATTTGTCCATTTCCTGCTGCCCGCCTTGTTCTCTGAGACAAAATACCTTCTCTTTGTTTATCTCCAGCTGCCAGGACCAGTCCTTGAGAGATAGCACTTACTCCTCATTATGATGTTGGGCCAGATTCTAACCTCTTTGCTTAAGTCATTTGGGTTCTGTAGGAATTTGCGCTTTTGGAAAAAGGAAGCAGCTAAAACAAATTGGGAATTTGAATTTGTGAAAGTGGTTCCCTGCTCCTCCCCCCCTCCCCAGCTTTATTACAGCATAATCCACCTATAATGCTGGGGAAGTTTAAGGTATACAGTGTGATAATTTGGTACATGTATACTCCGTGAAGTGTTTACTACATAAGGTTAGTTAACACATCCTCCAGCTCACACCACCACCTTATTGTCATTGCTATGGTGAGAATGTCAATGTTCTGCTCCCATAGCCACTTTCAAGTACACCATCCAGTGTTATTCATTACAGTTACCATACTGTACATGAGATCCCTGGAGCTTACTCATCTTGCAACTGAACGTTTGTACCCTTTGACCTACATCTTCCCATCCCCCCACCCTTTCAACCACCATTCTACTCTGTTTCTGTGAGCTTGATGTTTTCAGATTCTGCATGTCGGTGGTGAGATCATACAGTGTTTGTCTTTCTCTGACTGACTTCACTTAATGTGATGCCCTCAGGGTCCATTCATGTTACCCAAAATGACAGGATTTCCTTTTTTATTACTGAATAATACTCTACAGTGTGTATGTGTGTGTAGATACATATGAGATTTTCATTATACATTCATCCATTAGATGGGCACTTAGGTTGTTTCTGTGTCTTGGGCATTGTGAATAGTGTTGCAGTGAATATGGGAGTACAGGTGTCTCTCTAAGATAGTGATTTCATTTCCTTTGGCTAAGTACCCAGAAGTGGGATTGCCGGATCATACATAGTTCTACTTTCAGTGTTTTTAGAAACCTTCGTACTGTTTTCTGTAGTGGCTGTATTTTATATTCTCACCAACTGTGTATGAGGGTTCCATCTTCACATCTTAGCCAGCATTTGTTACCTTTTGTTTCAACAATAGCCATTCTGGTAGATGTGAGATGATCTCTCATTCTGGTTTTAATTTGCATTTCCCTAATGGCTGGTGACATTGAATACCTTTTTATATACTTGTTGGCCAATAATATGTCTTTGGAGAAATGTCTGTTCAGTTTCTCTGCCCATTCTTTTAATTGGATTTTTTTTTAAGATTTTGTTTTATTTTTTAAGTTTTATTTATTTAAGTCATCTCTACACCCAATGTGGAGCTCAAACTCATGACCCCAAGAGCAAGAGGCGCTTGCTCCACAGACAGAGCCAGCCAGGCACTGCAGGGGTTTGTGCCGTGGACCTGTGTGAGTTCCCTGTTGATTCCAGATGTTAACGGCATCTGATAGATAACTTGCAGGGGTTTCCCCCATTCTACAGGCTGCCTTTTCCTGTTGTTGATTGTTGCTCTTGCTGGGCAGAAGAAGTTTGGGTGAATATAGTCCCACTCATTCATTTTTGCTTTTGTTGCTGGTACTTTGGTGACAAAAATCATTGCCGAGACCAGTGTTAGGGACCTTTTTTCCCCCATGCTTTCTTCTTGGAGTTTCATGGTTTCGTGTCTTACAGTTAAGTCTTTAATTCATTTTGTGTTCGTTTTAATAAGTAGTAGAAAATAGAGGACCAGTTTCATTATTTTGTGAATATCTGATTTTGCCAGCACCGTTTATTAAAGAGACGGTCTTTTCTCTGTTGAGTGTTCTTGCCTTCCGTCTCAAATATTAATTGATTGTACACGTATGGCTTTATTTCTGGGCTTTTAATTCTGTTCCATTGGTCAATGTGTCTGTTTTGATGCGAGCACCACCTGTTTTAATGACTACAGCTTTATAACGTAGTTTGAGTCAGGAGGTGTGATGCCTCCAGCTTTGTTCTTTCTCAGGATTGCTTTGACTATTTCTGGCCTTTGGTGACTCCATACAAATTTTAGGATTGTTTTTTCTACTTTTGTGAAAAATGCCCCTGGAATTTTGACAGGATTACACTGAATTTATAGATAGCTCTGACTCTTAAATATAGAGAACAAACAGAAGGTTGCTAGAGGTATTGGGGGGGATGGGCTAAATGGGTGAGGGGTTTAAGGAATCTACTCCTGAAATCATTGTTGCACCATGTGCTAACCAGCTTGGATGTAAATTATAAAAACTAAATAAGTTATAGAAGGTGCAGGGAAAAAATATAGATGGCTCTGGGTAGTACGGACATTTTAGCAATATTAACTCTCCAATCCATTCATAAAGATGTTTTAATAGTCCTAATGTGTAGGCGGAGCCCCCTTTCCAGATTTTTTTTATTAAAGTCTCATCCAAAAACATTGAGTCTCATCCAGAAATACTGAGATGTTTCCAAAATGTTAGATACTTCCCTGTCTGTGGTATATATTTGACTGAAAGAGTACTTTTTCAATAAAGCTTTAAAATGCTCTGCTTTTTAATTTTTTTCAGTATTTCTAAAGTTCTTGAAACACAGCTATACCCATTCATTTCATTGCCACAGCTGCTTTTGGTGTGACAAATGACAAAGTTGAGTAGTTGTGACAGATCATATGGCCTGCAAAACCTAAAATATTTACCCCATGGTTCTTTTGTTTTGTTTTTACTTTTTTCTATTTTCCAATTTATTTTATGGTGGTAAAATACATATACCATAAAATGCGTTATTTTAACTGTTGTAAGTGTACAATTCAGTAGCATTAATGACGTTCACAGTGTTGTGTGACCATCACCAATGGTTTACGTTTTTCATCCTCTCAAATGTATACTCTGTTCCCATTAAGGAATTACTCCCCATTCTCTCTTCTCAGCCCCTGGTGGCTACTAATATGTTCCCTGTTCTATGAATTTACACATTCTAGATTTTTTAAATATTTGTTTATTTTGAGAGAAAGAGTGTGGGCCTGTGAACAAGCAGGGGAGGGACAGAGAGAGAGAGTCCTGAGCAGGTTCAGTGCTGTCAGTGGCAGAGCCCTACGTGGGACTTGATCCCACCAACTGTGAGATCATGACCTAAGCTGAAATCGAGAGCCGAATGCTTAACCGACTGAGCCACAAGGCACCCTGACCTATTCTATTTTCCATAAGTGGAATCACATAGTATTAGTTCTTTTGGGTCTAGCTTATTTCACTTAACATCGTGTTTTCAAGACTTATATATATTGAGGCAAGTATTTGAACTTTTCATGGCTTTTTATGCCTCATTAGCATTGTATCGTTATGTACCTATCACATTTTGTTTATACATTCGCCCATTGTTGGCTACTGTGAGTAATGCCGCGGTGAACATTGAGGTACAAGTATCTGTTTGAGTTCCTGTGTTGAATTCCTTATACCTAGGACTGGAATTGCTGAGGCATGTTTTATACATTTTACACATATAAAATGTATATAAATGGGGGTGCCTGGGTGGCTCAGTCGGTTAAGTGTCCGACTTTCGCTTAGGTCATGATCTCGCGGTTTGTGGGTTCGAGCCCCGCATCGGGCTCTGTGCTGACAGCCAGCTCAGAGCCTGGAGCCTGTTTCAGAGTCTGTGACTCCTTCTCTCTCTGACCCTCCCCTGCTCACGCTGTCTCTCTCTCTCTCTCTCTCTCTCCTAGAAATAAATAAAAAACATTTTATTTTTTTCGTTTTTTTGTTTTTTTTTTTTAATGTTTTATTTATTTCTAGGAGAGAGAGAGAGACAGCGTGAGCAGGGGAGGGTCAGAGAGAGAAGGAGTCACAGACTCTGAAACAGGCTCCAGGCTCTGAGCTGGCAGTCAGCACACAGCCCGACGCGGGGCTTGAACCCACAAACCGCGAGATCATGACCCATGCTAAAGTTGGTCGCTTAACCGACTAAGCCACCCAGGCGCCCCAAAAAACATTTTAAAAAAACTGTATATAAATGTATAAAATATCCAAAATACAAGTCTCCATTTAACTTTGCACCTTTTTACATTCTCACTGCTTTCCTGTTTTGAAGAAAGATTTCTCCCAGTTTAGGATTCTTTTCTTAATTAGAAGAAGTTTTCTGAGTTTCTACTTCTGTGCCAGGTGCTCTCTTACGATCATATTCTCTGGTAGCCCAGGTATGCTATGGGTGGAATTTAAACAGAAGCAGCTTATGGTTCTGCTTGCGGAAGAACTTTCCAGCTGAACAGTTAGAAAAAGAAATGGCCTGACCTGATGTGTGCTCCCCTCTCTTCTTTTAGGAAGAAACTGGCTAGCCATTTGGGGAAGGAGCGTCGAATTTTAGCTAAATTATTGGTTGGGTTCCTTTAACCTCATAGAATCTATTCAGTGAAGTAAAGAAACCTGAAAGGAACTGCATTTCACACTCCAGAGTCTGAGGGTGATAATTAGGATAGGCAGTAAAACATTTCTTAATAGTAATTTAAAGAACACTTACTGCCTTTTTCCAGATAATGTGCTAGACATAGTCCTTGAGGTAGAGGGAGACAGGCACGTACGTGTAATCAGTTATGGGTGCCGGAGCAAAAACACAAGGTACAGCGAGAAGACGAAGGAGGGAATGGTCAGCTCTGGAGTCAGAGAGGGCTGGGATTAAATGCATAGGAGAGTCAGGGGAAGAAGGGATGCCTCAGCTGAGGCTGAGCAAACAGGTGGGTGTTCACTGGGCAGGTCAGAGGAAATGCTGGGAGGGCAAGACAAGGGTTGATGAGAGGTTGATAGCCCTGCATTCAGTGCTTCAGTTACTCTAAAAGTCACTTGGGTAGAAGCCAGGGGAAGTCGGCTGGGTCCTCTGTGCTATCTGCCCCCCCCCAAGCTTAGATTTTACTCTGTAAAGGCGGTGGGAACTCTTCACAGTTTCACACAAATCAGTAACAAGATGAGGTTTCTTTGGCAGCCACATGGAAGGCAGATTGTAGAGGGACAAGATCAGAGAGACCAGTTGAGAAATTACTGCAGTAGTTTGTGATGAAGGCCTTGAACGCTGACTCTACTCACATGACTAACCATACTTCCTGTTATTCCCCCTCTTTAATATTCTCCCTACTTGTGATGCTTATTCTTTACGTACTTGTTCTTATTGCTTCCATACCACACATTCACTTTTCCATCTGAAGCAATGCCATTCCTCAATAGTCCTTTTAAGATGTTTTTTCTGAGCTTATATGACATATATAAAATAATATATTAATCACCTGCTATGGGCCCAACTAGGCAGTAGGTGGGATGCACATATTATTTAATCTTTATAACACCCTTTGGGGGCACCTGAGTCGCTCAGTAGGTTAAGCGTCCGACTTCAGCTCAGGTCATTATCTCATGGTTCGTGGGTTTGAGCCCCACATCGGGCTCTGTGCTGACAGCTAGCTCAGAGCCTGTAGCCTGCTTCAAATTCTGTATCTCCCTCTCTCTCTGACCCTCCCCTGCTCACGCTGTCTCTCTCAGAAATAAATTTAAAAAGTTAAAAAATAATAACACCCTTTGGAAGTTTTAATAAGAATTATTCCATATAACAGGTAAGACTCACAAAGGCCAAGTAACATATTCAGGTTTACTTAGTTTTAAGCAGCATCTGAGCCAGGACTGTCTTGAAAGCCCCTGTTTGTTTCACTAGATCACATGGTCTTCTTTTTGTGAGTTTATATAATTTAGCTCCCCTTTGCATAATGTTAATTGTTTCATGTGTCTTTCTTCTTTGCTAAATTGACATTTTTGATGACAGAGACAATATTGTTACATCATCTATGTCCTACCAAGGATTTAGCCAGCATAGGTAGTTACTGAGTTTTTGGATGAATGGATATCTGATGACCTGTTTGTCAGTGGGCTTTTTCTTATTATTGTTGCAGGTCTCCTTACAGCATGCCTTATACCTTATGCATCATGGAATGCTTGAGGACGCGAGCAGAAATCTCAGTCGCGCAGAGACATGGAGATATGGTGAAAAGTCTTCTTCCCAGGAAGTGTTAATCAACCTCATTCAGGCGTATAAAGGGCTTCTGCAGTATTATACTTGGTTTAAAAAGAAGATGGAATTGTCTAATCTTGGTGAGCGAAGATGGGTGTACTTTTTATGGCGATGAGACCGAATCACAGGAACAGACAGAATCTTTTTAAGTTTATTTATTTTGAGAGAGAGCACGTGCGCGTATGAGCGAGAGCACAAGTTGGACAGGAGCAGAGAGGAGGAGGAGAGACAGAATCCCAAGCAGGTTCTGCGCCATCAGGTGCAGAGACCCATGTGGGGGTTGAACTCATAAACCATGAAATCATGACCTGAGCCAATATCAAGAGTCAGATGCTTAGCCAACTGAGCCACTTGGGTGCCCCTGGACAAACAGGATCCTAAGGAATAACCTCATTCCCCTGCTTTTAAGCCTGACTCTTTCCAGATATTGCAGAGAACAGACATATCTATTGATGTAAATTTCTTGATCATCCTTTGTAATGTTTCTGATAATCAAACTTTTCAGACATAAATTGTGTGATGCATAAATTAAGTCGATTACCATCTTAGATTTATTGTTTTTTTAATTTTTTTTTTACGTTTATTTATTTTTGAGAGACAGAGAGATAGCATGAGCAGGGGAGGGGCAGAGAGGAAGAAAACACAGAATCGGAAGCAGGCTCCAGGCTCTAAGCAAGCAGTCAGCACAGAGCCTGACACGGGGCTTGAACCCACGCACCGCAAGATCATGACCTGAGCTGAAGTCGGACGCTGAACCAACTGAGCCACCAGATGCCCCAATTTATTGTTTTTTTAAGTATTTCCAAGAAGGGTTACAAATTTTTTTCAGTAGACATTATGGCATATAATAAACATTTCTTCCTGTTTATTTTTTTAATTTATTTCTACTTACTTATTTTTTAAAAGTTTATTTATTTAAGCAGTCTCTACACCCAGCATGGGGCTTGAACTCACAACCCTGAGATCAAGGGCTGCATGCTCTACTGACTGAGCCAGCCAGGCGGCTCATTTTCCTGTGTGTTTAGAATGGAGGTTAGTTTGTTTTATGATGTTTGCTTTTTTAAAAAAAGAAGCTTATTTATTTATTTTTAAGTAATCTCTAAACTCAGTGTGGGGCTTGAACCCACGACCCTGAGATCAAGAGTTGCATACTCTTCTGACTGGACCAACCAGGTACCCCGGTTTTACGATGTTATTCTTCACAATAATATGCTTAGAGAATAGGGCACAGTAAAGTTGTTTTGTTTCTGTACAAAGGTCATAACGATTTTCTTTTTGTTTTTCTTTTTTTTTATATTTTTAATTATTTCTGAAAGAGAGAGACAGTGTGAACAGGGGAGGGTCAGAGAGAGAGGGAGACACAGAATCTGAAACAGGCTCCAGGCTCTGAGCTAGCTGTCAGAAGAGAGCCTGACGTGGGGCTTGAACCCACGAACCGCGAGATCATGACCTGAGCCGAAGTCAGAGGCTTAACCAACTGAGCCCCCCAGGTGCCCCATAACGATTTTCCTGATGGACCACACCAGGAATTGGCCGCGTGTCCCTACCTGTCAGAGTTCCCTTCCTCTGCTTCCAGTGGTGATGTTACCTCTCCTGTCCTCAGATTTGTGTCTAATTCTCTGCATCTCCCTTCTATTATATAGTTTTCCTCCATAGCTTTTCTAGGATTAACCCTTTTTATTTTCTTATTCTCCATCCAAATCTCAGTCCCCATATATATCGGCTCATATGTTTAAGCAGTGATTCCTTATGATCCTCATGTGGTAATAGTATTCCCTTGGTCTCTTTGGTATGTAGGTTCACTAATCTCAAAATTCTCTTCCCTTTTTCTGAGTATAATCTTTTCAGGCACTTCTGAAAAGCTGTCTTCATCGTGATAATCTTGTCCAATCTTCATGCTTCCTCCCAGTATAGAATGCCATCTGCCCTTCTAAGACTTGTTAGACCCCCTCATTCTCATACCGTAAACCTCATTGCTGCATGTCCAGCCTATATCAGTTAGCTCTTTATCTGTCGCTTTTTAATTGTCCTAAGTTTATTCATGTCTATTTTATGTTGTATCTTCTCGTCTTGACTAATCTGTCTTCTGAAGTCACATATCTCTTCTTTCTTTGGTTACTCTTGATATATACCCGGTATAATATTTCTTTTAAAAAAGTCTTATTGAGGGGCGCCTGGGTAACTCAGTCAGTTTAGTGTCTGACTTCTGATTTTGGCTCAGGTCATGATTCCAGGGTCGTGGGATTGAGGCCTGTGTGGGCTCTGTGCTGAGCATGGAGCCTGCTTAAGATTCTCCCTCCCTCTGTGCTTCTCCCAAGCTTGTGCTTTCTCTCTCTCTCAAAATAAACTTAAAAAAATTTTTTTTTTAATTTTTTTTTTTATGTTTTATTTATTTCTAGGAGAGAGAGAGAGAGACAGTGTGAGCAGGGGAGGGTCAGAGAGAAAGGGAGTCACAGACTGAAACAGGCTCCAGGCTCTGAGCTGGCAGTCAGCACAGAGCCCGACGCGGGGCTCGAATCCACGAACCACGAGATCATGACCTAAGCGAAAGTCGAACACTTAACCGACTAAGCCACCCAGGCGCCCCCAAAAATTTTTTTAAAGACTTATTGATATTAATTGATTAGATGAGATTTAAAGTCAGTATTTGCCTTTTTTCTCACACCTAGTTAGGTGGAACTCAAACAAGCATTGATGATAAAAGCAATAGGAACTTGGCATTGGCACGGTCTCTTCCATGGGTAGATGACTTAAGACCTTTCTGCAGCTGATGCCTTGTTCGCTAGCAAGAAGACATAAAGATGGCATAATGTGTGGAGCTCTTTAGATCATCTTTAACTTCGAATGTTTGTTTAATAAAAAAAGGTTAGGACTGGTTCTGTGTAACCAAACACATGAGAACATAACTCAACAAATGCTCAGTGTTGGTTTGGGGTTTTTCTCCGTTGCTGTTGGCCTGTCCTGGCTAGTGTGATGCATTTGGTGACTAGAAACCCCCTTCCATGGTAAATTCACACTCCATGTATACTGACTCAGGGGTGTGGTTTTTTTTTTTCTTTTAAAATTCTTTATCATTTCTTACCTATTTTCCCTTTATCATCTCATATTCAGATCCATATTGATATTTATTTAGTTCATCCTCTGTGAAGAGAATACCAATGCCTTTTGGAGACGGGGAGGGGCTGTTGTTTTGGCCAAAAATAAAAGTATTTTGTTTCTATCAGCTGTCACTTTTGAAAGACTAACTTTCCTTTTAAACCTTTAAGATTGTGAAATATAGCGCTCGCTTCGGCAGCACATATACTAAAATTGGAACGATACAGAGAAGATTAGCATGGCCCCTGCACAAGGATGACATGCAAATTCGTGAAACGTTCCATCTTTTTGGTAGCAACGTAGATGGAACTTGAGGGTGTTAATGCTGAGTGAAATAAGTCAGGCAGAGAAGGACAGCTACCATATGTTTGCACGTATAGGAGGATTAGGAGGAACTTAACGGAGGACCATGGGGGAGGGGAAGGGAGGAAATAGTTGGGGAGAGGGAGAGAGGCAAACCATGAGAGACTCTTGAATGCTGAGAACAAACTGAGGACTGATGGGTGGGGCAGATGGGCATAGAGGAGGGCACTTGTGGGGATGAGCACTGGGTGTTATATGGAAACCAGCTTGACAATAAACTGCAAAAAAAAAAGATTGTGAAATACAACATGCCGAAAAAGTGTAAAAAGCAAATGCATTATAAAATGAATAATTTAAAACAAATATCCATGAGGCTACCACCTAGATTCATTCTCAGAGTTCCCCAGGTGTGCCTTCCTGACCGCACTTCCTTTGGTTCTTTTTATGTGTGTTGTCGAGGAGGGGGGTGTTTGGGGGGTGGGGGGGAGAGTTTGTGAAGAATTAGTATTATTCTTTAAATGTTTGTTAGAATGTACTGGCAAAGCCATCAGGGCCTGAACTTTTCTTGTGGATAGTTTATTGGTTGCTGTTAGTATCAGCAAAGTCCTCGATACTGAATGACTTCTGAAAATCTTTTATCTTTGAACAGATGAAGATGATTATGCTTACAACACAGCATCCCAGACTATGCTCAACCACAGCTGGAAGACATCTGTAAACCTTTGTGCCTTGATTCAAACTCCTGGAGTTTGGGACCCTTTTGTGAAGAGTTATGTAGAGGTAAGTAGGCTTCTCATAAAGTTTTATTAGTTTAATTTTGTCGTAAGCCTTATCTTTATTGATCGGAAGGCAACTAAATGGAGAGCATTGTTTTTTTCCTTTTTTTTTTTAAAAAGAGAGAGAGGGGACCTGGCTGGCTCGGTCAGTGGAGTATGCAACTCTTCATCTCAGGGTTGTGAGTTCGAGCCCCGCATTGGGTATAGAGACTACTTTAAAAAATAAAATCTTTAAATAAACATTTAAAAAATTTTTTTTAAATTTCAAAAAGGGAATATGATATCTCTTTTTCATCTGAATAATTTTTATTTTACTAATATACTATAAATGTTAACTGTTTTTTTCCCTTTGCCACTGAATAATAGGTCATGGTTATATAGTTATAAAATAAATACCAAGATAGTTTGTAACTGTTAATTCTATATTATTCTTACTGAATTTAGAAGAAAGGCAGAAGGTTGGTTGGTTGTTGTTGTTTTTTTGTTTTTTTTTTTTTAAATGTTTTATTTTTATTTATTTCTAGGAGAGAGAGAGACAGCATGAACAGGGGAGGGTCATAGGGAGAGGGAGTCACAGACTGAAACAGACTCCAGGCTCCGAGCTGGCAGTCAGCACAGAGCCCGACGCGGGGCCCGAACCCACAAACCGCGAGATCATGACCTCAGCGAAAGTCGGACGCTTAACCGACTAAGCCACCCAGGCACCCTGTTGTTGTTTTTTTTAAAATAGGCTTTATGCTCAGTGTGGAGCCAGCGCAGGGCTTGAACTCACCACCCTCTGATCATGACCTGAGCTGAGATCAAAAGTAAGACATTTAGCCAACTGAGTCACCCAGTTGCCCCCAGGCAGAAAGATATTTTATATTTTGTGGGATAGAGAAGACCAGGGGACAAAAATCTGAAACTAGGTCGTAATACATGGGATGAAGAACAATGGCTTTTAGGAAGCAGGTCAGGGTGCAGTGTCATCTCAGAGTCACTGTGGAAGGATGGGGGGCTTGGCACTGGGAATAAATCCTCAAAAATTTTGAAAGTTCCATGAGTGCTAACCTGATAATTATGTTGTCAAGAGATAATCTCTGAAACCACATGCCGCTGAATCTGGGAATTCCCATGAGTGGGTGGGAATGGAAGGGAAGGAAGTCTAGTTCCCATGTGCGCCTTCTGTGGCTGAAGTTATATCGGCACCGAGGTTAGTGCTTCACTGGGTCTTTCTTACTCGCCAGTGGGCCCTGCTTTGAGGCCTTCATTTCTTACAGGAACAATTCCTAGGTTGCTGTGGCTGCATTTTTCTGTAACAAAAATGTGATCAGGAGGAAATGGGAACCCACCTAGGCCTTTGTTGTGAGTGATCTGTGCTCCACAGACATTGTAACGTATGCTGGTGACAGCAAATACTGCCATTACTGTGGTTCCCTGTGCAGGAAGTACTGTTTGTCATTTTAATGAATTTTTGTACCCATCAACAAAGTTAAGTTGTGCATTGTCTTTTGTATAGCTGTCTTACAGAATTTAGCGGAGACATTGTGACTTATTTTATATAGATGCTGGAGTTCTGTGGGGATCAGGATGGAGCCCGAGAGGTGCTCACCAATTATGCCTATGACGAAAAGTTCCCGTCGAATCCAAATGCTCACGTCTACTTGTACAACTTTCTAAAGAGGGAGAAGGCACCAAGAGAGAAACTGATAAGCGTGCTGAAGGTATAAGACGTTTATTTCAGTGACTGAACAGGGTCGGGGGTCTACTTTAAAACATCCCTAGGGGCGCATGGCTGGCTCAGTTGGAAGAGCATGTGACTCTTGATCTCAGGGTCGTGAGTTCAAGCCCCATGTTGGGCAAAGAGATTATTAAAAAAAAAAATGAACTCTAAAACATCCTTAGGTCGTGTTTTCCAACTTTCAAATTCTGACACTCCTAGGAAGTCCCCGTACATGTGTGGTGGTGCCCCAGGGTGGACAGAGAAGGGGGCAGCCCCATGGGTCCTGGCACTGCCATTCCTCTACCGCCCGGCCCAAGTGAGGGTGAGGGCACATGATCAGTAGATCACAAACCCTTTGCCACCCTGGTTGGGAAGTTCTGCTTTGATCATTTTTCAAAACCAGGTTTATGGAACCTTAATTTACACACAATAAAATAATTACTCTAAGTGTGCACTTGAATGCATTTTAACAGATACATACATCCGTGTGTCCACCATGATAATCAATATCCTGAACATTTCCATCACCTCAGAAAATCCTTGATTTCCGGCGGAAATGGTGGGGGAAAGGGAGAGAGGCAAACCATGAGAGACTCTTGAATGCTGACAAAAACTGAGGACTGATGGATGTGGGGGGGAGGGGGGGATGGGCATGAAGGAGGGCACTTTGGGGATGAGCACTGAGTGTTATGTAGACTAATTTGACAATAAACTATTTGTAAAAAAAAAAAAAAAAAAAAAAAAAAGAAAATCCTTGATTTCCCTTTTGCAGCCAGTCTACCCACCTGTTTCTGGCCCCAGGGCAAAGAATGATCTGCTTTCTGTCACTATAGATTAGATTAACTTCCCCTCTTCTAGAATTTCATATACGTGAAATCCACAGCATGTGCTCTTTTTTGTGTGGCTTGTCTTGCCCTGCATGTTTTTGAGACTCATCCATGTAATTGTGGGTATCAGTAATTTGTTCCTTATTATTACTGTGTAGTGTTCCATTTCTGTATATTCACTTCTTGGTGGTAGATTTTCACCCTTTAGCTACTATGAATGCTGCTACATTCACATACAGGGCTTTGTATGCATATATGTTGTCATTTTCCTTGAGTACCTATGTAAGAATGGGATTGCTGGAAAACATATGTTTGAAACAACCTCATAAGAAACTGCCCAACTGTTTTTTTTTTTTTTAAATCTTTATTTACTTTTGAGAGAGAGACAGAGTACAAGAAGAGGAGAACAGAGAGAGAGGGAGACACAGAATCTGAAGCAGGCTTCAGGCCCTGAGCTGTCAGCATGGAGCCTGATGCAGAGCTTGAACTCATGAACTGTGAGATCATGACCTGAGCCAAAGTCAGATGCTCAACTGACTGACCCACACAGGTGCCCCTGTTGTTTTTTTTTTAATTGAGATGTAATTGACATATAACTTTATGTTATTTTTAGGTATACAACGTAGTGATTCAATACTTGTATATATTGCAAAATGGTCATCAGAGGAATTCTGCTTAACATCTATCACCACACAGTTACAACTTATTTTTCTTGTGTTGGGAGCTTTTAAGATTTATTTTCTCAGGGGTGCCTGGGTGGCTCAGTCGGTTAAGCGTCCGACTTTAGCTCAGGTCATGATCTCACGGTTTATGGGTTCGAGCCCCATGTTGGGCTCTGTGCTGACAGCTAGCTCAGAGCCTGGAGCCTGCATAACTATGAAAAAGATTATCACAAATGTGTGGGCAGTAACAATTACATTATAAATTTGATCATCAAATTTATGTGTCTCTGTCTCTCTCTGACCCTCCCCCGCTCATGCTGTCTCACTCTCTCTTTCTCTCTCTCTCTCTCTCAGAAATGTATAAAACATTAAAAAAAATTTTTTTTAATTTATTCTCTCAGAAACTTCAAATATACAATATTGTATTAACTGTAGTCACCATGTTCTATGTTCTATCCCCAAGACTTTTATATTTATTTTATAACTGGAATTTATACCTTTTTGTTTGTTGGGTTTTTTTACTATCGAGTTGTATTAGTTCTTTATATAAGTTAGGTATTAAACCCTTATCAGATATGTGATTTGCAGATACTTTTTCTCCCTTTCACTGGGTTGCCTTTTCATTTTGTTGATGGTTTCCTTTGCTGTGCAGAAGGTTTTTAGTTTGGTATAGTCCCACTTGTTTTTATTTTTGCTTTTGCCTTTTGCTCAACTGGTTTTTGAAGTGACCGTACCATTGACATTCCTGTGGTCAGTGTGTGAAGGGTCAGGTTCTCCACACCCTCGCTGACACTTGGTATCATCAATCGTTTGAATTCAGTCGTCATTTTAGTGGGTATGTAGCGGAGTCTCGTGGTTTTAAGTTGCGTTTCCCTAATGACTAATAACATGGAGCATCTTCTCATGTGCCTCTTGGCTGTTCCTATATCATCTTTTGTGAAGAATCTGTTCAATGTTTTATCTCTTTTCTTAGAGAATTATTTCTCTTCTTATGGATTTGTTAGTTCTATATAATCCATTCTTACCTAGGCATGTGTCCTAGGGTTCACAACATGGATTGCAAATAGTTTCTTCCAGGCTTTGGCTTGCCTTTTCGTTCTTAACAGTGTCTATTGAAGAGCAGAAATTTCTAATTTTAATGAAGTACAATTTATGCATTTTTTCTTTTATAGTTAGTACTTTTTGTTCAAGAAATCTTTGCCTAGCCAAGATGATGAAGATTCTCTTCTATGTTGTTTTGGTTATTTTTCCCTAGAAGTATTACAGATTTATGTTTAGGTCTATGATAGATTTCCAGCTAATTTTTTTGTGTAGTGTGAGGTCAAGATCAGGGTTCATTTTCCCCCACGCGGTGGTTTCAGCACCATTTAGTGAAAAGAGCCCTCGTCCTCCATTGAATTATATTGATAATGTTGAAAAACAATTGACTGTATATATGGGCCCTGTGTGTTCTAGTGGTTTATATATTGCCATCCCTGTAACCACCCCACATGCCATGACTATTGCTTTAAATGAGTCTCTGTCACGGCAGTCATAAATTTGTCCTTTTTCAAAATTGTTTTAGCTTTTTTAGATTCTTTGACTTTCCATGTACTTCTTTATATTTAAGTATTTTATTTTTATTTAGGGAGAGAGAGAGAGCACGAGTCAGGGAGAGAGGCAGAGAGAAGGAGAGAATTCCAGGCAGGCTCCATGATCAACACAGAGCCTGACACAGGGCTCGATCCCATAACCTTGGGATCATGGCCTGAGCGAAACCAAGAGTAAGACACCCAACTGACTGAGGCACCCAGGCTCTCCTTTCCGTATACATTTTTATTTATTATTTTTTTATGCTTATTTTATTTTGAGAGATAGAGATACCGTGAGCAGGAGAGGGGCAGAGAGAGAGAGAAAGAGAAACAGAGAGAGAAGCCCGAGCAGGCTCCTTGCTCAGGGCAGAGCCTGACACAGGGCTAAGTCCCATGAACCATGAGATCATGACCTGAGCTGAAACCTGATTTCAACCACATGAGCCGCCCCCTCTGTGTACGTTTTTAGATCAGCTTGTCTCATGCTACAAATTGTCTTGCTGGGATTTTCAATCTGTAGGTCAATTCTGAGAAAATTTACATTTCAACAGTATGGAGGTTGCCAAATTGTGAACATGGTATCTTTCATTCAGTTAGGTCTTTTCTTTCGTAATGTAGTTTTTAATATGTATATTTTGTTAAATTTATTCCTAACTGTTTCATGTTTGAGGTTGTTACTGTATAGGATATTGCTTAAAAATTTTTTTATTATGGCAAAATATATATAACATAGAATTTACCATTTTAACCAATTTTAAAAGCATTTTATTTTTTACATTTTTATTTAAAAAAATTTTTACATGTATTTTTGAGAGAGAAACAGAACGCAAGTGGGGGTGGGGCAGAGAGAGACACACACAGAATCTGAATCAGGCTTCAGGCTCTGAGCTGTTAACACAGAGCCCAACATAGTGGGGGTGAACCCATGAACTTTTAGATCATGACCTGACCTAAAGTTCGATACTTAACCAACTGAGCCACCCAAGTGCCCATTAAACGCATTTTTAATAGCATTAAGTAATTCATAGTTTTGTGTAACCATCACTGTTCTCTGTCCTAGACCTTTTCCATTATCCCAAATAGGAACTCTGTATCCATAAAACAATAACCTCCTGTTACCTGGCACCCATCCCTGGTTATGTCTATTCTATTTTCTGTCTCTACGAATGCTTTTTTAGGGACCTCATCTAAGTGGAATCATACAATATTTGTCCTTTCATGTCTTTCTTATTTCACTTAGCATAATGTTTTTAAGGTTCATCCATGCTCCAGCATGTATCAGAATTTCCTTCATTTTTAAGCCTGTGTAATATTCTATTGTATATATGTGTCACATTTTGTTTGTCTAGTCATCTATTGATAAACATTTGATTGTTTCCAATTTTTGTTTATTGTGAATAATGCTGTTATGAACATTGGTATACAAGTATGTGTTTGACTTCCTGCTCTCAGTGTTTTGTGTATACCTAGTACTGAAATTGTTAGGTCATATGGTAATTCTTTTTTAACTTTTAATCATCAGACTGTTTCTTTTTTTTTTTTTAATGTTTTATTTATTTCTAGGAGAGAGAGAGAGAAACAGCGTGAGCAGGGGAGGGTCAGAGAGAGAGGGAGACACAGACTCTGAAACAGGCTCCAGGCTCTGAGCTGGCAGTCAGCACAGAGCCCGACGCGGGGCTCGAACCCACGAACCGCGAGATCATGACCTAAGACTTTCTCTTACCACCACAAGCATGAGTCCCACAAAGGACACAATGACTCTAAACCCATATATTTCAATAATAACACTGAATGTAAATGGGCTGAATGCTCCAATCGAAAGATATAGGGTAGCAGAATGGATAAAAAAACAAAATCCATCCTCTTCCTGTCTACAAGAAACTCATTTTAGACTGGAGGACACCTTCAGATTAAAAGTAAGGGGATGAGAAATATATATCA